GTACTCACCTTACCCTACTCTCTACATTTGTGTCCGTCTGTCTCTTTTACATCCGTGTGAATCATTCTTCTGATCCCTCTCTCGACTTTTCCCCATTTTGTTGTTCCTCTCCTCTGTAATGTAATTGTCTTCAAATAGTGGGTATGGAACTTAATTAGGAGGCTCGAACAATAAGTCAAAAAGTTCAAACCTTAGAATGTAGTGGAAGCAAGCTAGTTACAATTGATAGGATAATCAAATGGTCTGGCATTAAGCTGACGAGGCAACAAATCAATACCTTAATCACCGTATCTAGAATAATCATCATATGTTCAGGCGCTTGGAACCAAAATCTGACAACTTAGATTTATTCAATTGCTCAGATGATTTAACCCTATCCGCAAATTTTTATTTTCATGAATTTCGTGGGTACTTTGAATTAGATCTATTTATTTATCTATCTCTCTCTAACATTGTGTCTGTCTCATTTACATCTGCAAATCATTCTTCAGTCCACCCTCTTCAACTTTGATGTTTTTCCCCTCTGTGAAGCCTGAAGTCAGCTAATGAGCTAATGATAACTATCAAAATGCCTGCCATTCGAAATAAATAAATTTATTTTAGAACTCAGCCATAACTTGCTAAATTTCGATTGCAAAATTTACCATTTAACAAATAAGAACCCCGAACCACCTGTGACTCACCATACTACACCTTAAAATTGTGAATTCCTATGAAAAATATCAACGTAAAGGGGAATTTGTAATTCATGTTTTTTTAATTTATCTCTTAATATATATATAGAAAATAATTATTATTTTTGTTCAGTTATATAAATTGCGTATAAACTTAATTGGGACCTGAGAGTCTCTGTAAAGTGCTCTTCACTACACGCTAAATATATTCTCTGAAATGGCATAATTGCGGAATACTAGGTCAATTTTATTAATTAATTCTTAAACTAGTGGCCATAATGTCGTTAACGAACCATAATACTAATAGTTAACATTGAAATATGACAGTAAGAACTATGCCAAACCAAATCCAACCGAAAAATCCCTGAATAGTCCAGATGTAGCATTTTCTTCTACTTACCCTACCCCTAATGTCCAGTAATATTAATATGGAACAGAAATCGCCTGATAATGCCAGCTCTGTGATGTTTGCATATTCGCTTCGCCAAAAGGAATTTTCCGAGAATAAACGAAGATGTGATGTGTAGAAATGACGCATTTTCCAGGTTCCTTAGGTGGTTCCCAAAGTGTCAACTTAATCTTTAACTTCAAAAATCATTTTTTTCTTATATTTCATAAGAAGAAAATGGCTATTATTAATAATCCATGGGTAATTAATGGTTGATCTTGGAGCATTAGGTAATGAAGTTTATTTATTTATTTATATCAAATCTCAGGCATTTTGATAGTTATCATAAGCCCTTTAGTTGACTTCAGGCTTCACAGAGAAGAAGGAACATCAAAGTGAAAAAAAGTCGAGAAGGTGGAGGGGAACAGAAGAGTATTTCAAAGATGTTAAAGAGAGAGACACAAAGGTAGAGTGAAAAAGATGAGGTGAGTACTGTGGAAGTAGTCGAATATGACATACAGTGAGGTGATGGTGTTTTGAAGTCGGAAGTCAACTGCCGAATAATAGACCTTTTTGCCGTATGAGTATACGTTGACCAGGGTGCACCACGTGGAGGTAAGTCTATCACACACCCCAGGTAATGAAGCACAATCACAAAATTCCTCAAGATAGCAGAAGAGCATGCCAATCTTATTTTCATTAATTCGGTACACGTGAGGCGACGATTACTAAAAATACAATAATAATGGCAACAAACGTAAGCACAATATTCTGTTTTTTTTTTAATATTTCGTAAGCAATGGGGGATACTTAATGTAGCTTTTTATGCATTTTATAGACAGCCAATTATTTCAACCAGGAAAATTGTTTGTGTTAACTGCCTCTATACCGCAATATTATTTTTCCATAAATTCGAATTTATGTTTTAACTAAATTCATTAAAGCATTCATTATAATTTTGGATTGGCAGATTATTCTTTTATAAATTTTAAGCCGCGTGCATTAAATAATTTTACTAGACCAATTATATTCACGATATGGATTTTTCTGACAATAAACTTGAAATTAATGATTTTGAAATGATACATACCTTTAAAATTATGACAGTTTATTGATTTTCAATTTTTACTAATCAATGTTGCTTTTTTTCCTTAAACTGTAGGAGGAATGTGTGTTTGCATTTTTTAAATATCACTCACGGGGTTCCTAGTGTGAACAGCGAATATGCATTTCATACTCAAACGATAAAACAGAAAATTATGAAAATGAATTCTTTGTGTTGAGGGTACTCTTTTGTACTCCAATCCATATATAGCACCATAATTTAAGTAAATATTCCATGCAGAAGTTGTACTGTCTGCTATTTCAATTCATAAATATTTTAGTTGAACCGAAGATGGAATCTTCTTGAAGTAGACTGAAATTACACATTTCGCGCTTCTCTTCCTATTATGACGCGCATATATATAGTACCAAACTGACATTGTCACGAAGATTTGAACTTGAATAGCTTGTCTTTTCAATAATGATATTTAATTAGAAATAGGGAATTATCAATCATTGACTTCTGGTTTTAGATTAAATAAGAGAAGGTATCAGATAAATTAAGTCTGTGAAAAATGGCTGTTTGATTTATGATAAAATAAACGCATCCTGTTCCTTACCTATCAAGTCTTGTTAACTCGGCTAATAGGGAGAAGACTGCAAAATAACCTTACTACTTACTGAGGTAAATTTCACTGTAAAATTTTATGGTTGTATCATTCCCATTAATGCTCATAACATTTTTAGATAAAAACAGCACAAGCCCATTTGAATATTTACTAAACACAAAATGGGATGTCTAGGCACTTTGTGTTATTTAAGATGAACCCACCAATCAGACAGCCATTACGCACGTCATCATCCCACACGGATCCAATCAGAGTGCAAGAATTCTTTAATAATCCTCACATTCCAATTGGTTCAGTTGCTTTGAGCATCAGTTTCGTATTGGTGTGAAATGAGTACTTAAGGGTGCTCAAAGCAGGTCCTCAAACAAAAGTCGAAAATTTACATGTCCTCCACTGCAGGAACTGACCTTCTCGATGTCCAACAGGCTTACATGGCTCATTTCTACAATCTCTTTGAAACTTTTATAAAGAATCCTCTGTGTGCGACACCTGCACATAGCCACAAAGATCCTCCAATTTTCTCAAAACCTAATGACGATGCACTAACCAAGGATGCTTTCGACTGTAGACTTTGTAAAGGTGTTTACGAAAATCCCATGCAATTGGCCCAACATAATTGTCCGCAGCTAACCCGGAGAGCCTTCCAGTGCCATAACTGTCAAAAGGTAAGCTGTCTGCAATTTTCATGAACATTAAAAAAATGGCTGGAGAGATTCCACTTTCAATTCTATTTGCTTTATATAAAGTTTAGATAGTTCTTGCTTTATTAATGTTATATGTACATTGGGATGAATAGAATGGAAATTTCTGACGCTCATCATGGTCTGGGAGGTTGCATTTTGTAGTAAATAAAGCTATTTATAATTAATTAACTGATTAACTTTAAATTGATTTCGTGGACTTTCTGCAGTTACCTCATTTCCTTGAATACTGATGCAACCAATAAGAGTACTTTTTGCATTTAAAATCGCTAAACTTTTGGATTAATTCTAATTATTTTACGAATATGTGGAATTTTAAATTTCTCGACGACCTTGCCAAAATATTATTGTATACAACCTATAAAATATGCAACGATTGTGATAGGCAGGAATTACTGTAGGGTAGTGTAATTAAATTTGTTTTGCTGATAATTTCTCAAAAAGTATTAAATCTTAAGAATTTTTTCTGATTCTCAAGTTTGTGGTGAAGGAAATGTTTTAAACCCATTTATTCTTGTAAATTAGACAACATAGCAAAAGCAATCAAAAGGGAATCTGAAGGATTTGGTTAATTATGTCAGTTAATTTTCGCAATTAAGTATTTGGGGGACAGAAAAATGTTAAGAATAACCGCAAAGATATATATATTATGATATTCGAATAAAAAAATTAACTAATAAAACTAAGCCTCATTTGTTTTCATTTAGCTTAATATCTTTCCTCAAATTGTACGAACTTTTAAACTTCAATGTGAGAAGCATTGAAAGTAGAAAAGATCTCGCATATTCAAAATTTTATTCACTCATTTTATAGGCCTTTAATTGTTCCGCCAACTTAGCAAGTCACCAAAGATGGCATCGGCCAAAGTCCGCCACCTTAGCATCTAAAAGAGCTCCAAGTCAGATCAAACCAGACACAGTGGAACCTTCCACTGGCCTCGATCTCAGTACCCATAGCAGCAGTACAGCATCATCAAGTGACAACCAATCAGTCAAGGCTCCAAGAAAGATCATTCGATCTCCTTGTGAGCAGCGCTCTCACACCCAGAGAACCACGTCTTTCAGCATTGACAGCATCTTAGAAACACCAAAGTCAACATTTCCCTGTTTTCGATGCGATGAAACACTGCATTCACAGAGTGATTTTGAAGACCATATTATTGACCACATGCTCTGTACTCAGGAAAAATGAAGTATCCCGCCGCATCTTTTACCCACACACACACGCACACAAAATTAACTTTTTTAATCAATCAGACTTACCACTATTAGTGATATCGGGATTTGCATTCCCAAATTCGAAACATCATATAAAATTGTTATAACCACTATCGAGATGTAGCGCGCATTTTCGAAGCCAAAATGTCATTGCAATACAGCAATATTTATATCAGAATCATAAATTGGTTTGAGCGCGTCTAACACGTGACCACATATCTTTTTTGTTTTCTCGTTGATGGGAGGCGCTAACTGATCAGGCAATGTAGGAATGTCTCTGACACTTACACATAGCGAAAATTCATGCAAATTCCATTGAAATGGTACGCTATATGTATGAGAATTCAGAAGTAATGGGCATGACGAATCATCAAGTTTATTGGCATTTGAAATCTACCGATTGATGATAAACAATTAATAAACCGGTGTTTTGGTACTTGAGTTCAAAGAAAAGATGAAGGCGAACAAGTTAAGACTCGCGGGTTTGATATTTTCATGCAGTTATAAATTGAATCTACTTTATTGCACCAAAACAACGAAACTAGACACAGCTATTTAAAAGGGTTCAACTTCATCGTGTAGAAGTAGTAGATTTGATACAAATCGAAAAATGACTTTAACATAATAAATACTTCTGTGCAGCTGCTATTTTGACTCCTATAAAAGTGAAATGCGTCGGAGTGTGATTGGCTATCATTGGTGAATAGCAGTAATCAGAGTGACAAATAGATTGAGGAAACTATAAAGAATTATCTGCAAATAAAGCTGATAATCGAAGCTAAACTGCCCTGGAAACTGATTGATGTTCCACCTTAAGTGGTTTCAAGAGTGTCCCCAAATTCACATCATAGAAAGCATGCACAAAGTACAGTAATCGTGGAGCATCGGGGACATTTCACCGATTCATTTTCCACAAGAAACATAATATAATAATAAGCTGCAAATCAATCGATATATATATATATAGTAAAGTGGAGAACCTCTCAAAGGAATTTATTGCTATGCATTGTCATGTGTTTGGATGCTTCAAAATCCACATTTGAAGGTCTGTTTCAAAGTTTCTGAACGACTACTTTCAAGTCTAATTGGCAGGTTGACAAAATTAGGAACATATTCATGCCATATATCGATCTAATTGGCTGGGAGTGTTCAGAATTTGTAAAATGCTAAGTGCTTCCTTTTAAATGCTATATATTATTGCACGACACGGGAGATACACAAAGTCAGATATGCATTAAATGATATCTTCATTTAAATAAAAAGATGGTATTTCATTTTGCATAAAAATTTCAAGACTAAGCTTTGATTGGCTCAGATATGCACAATAATCTAAAGTAATTAAACCCATAATGACACTGAGCAATTAATCGCAATTGTGGTTTTTGATATGTGGGACGCATCATCGCTTAGTGCGTCATCGCATGCTTGCACGCCAGGATTGGGAGGTGCGGCCGTACAACTCTGTGTGCAGCGACCGTACAAACAGTGGCCAATCAGTAGCTTCTGCTTGTTTAACCTAATCCGCCATCCTGATCATAATTAAGCATCCTGAGTATACACTTTACTCACAATAACCCTACTGAATAAACGTGTTCCGTGCTATACGTCTGTTTCCCCCCTACAGCTTGTCTATAGCTTAGCTAGTTCTGGGAGTCTAGCTAGATGTAGGAGAATCTGACACACAGAGATTTCTGAGTCAGTCAGGATTTAATAGTGTAGCGATCCGCTACAGATACCTCTT